AGCAGCAGATTGTCTGCCGAAAGGGGCGGGGCATATTTGCGTTAACTGCGACACACGCAGACGACATGGTTCCTGAGCATAAATCAACCTTTAGGATCATGCAGTTCTGCTCAAAGCTACGCAAACAGTTGGTTTAAATGTGAAGCTTTGCAGCCAGAGGAAGTGAGCCTTATTTAAGGATTTTGTTTGTCTCCTTTTTTATAGTCTTTTTTTTTTATTTATTCATGTCTGAATTATGTGAAGGAGGCTGGATCGTTAAGAATGTTTGATTTTATTTCTGCTGCTTGTTGATGTGAGGAATGCTTAGCATGGAGACAGAGCCGCGGTGTTTGGACTCTTACGCATCTTTAGAAATCAGAAAACCAAAGATGACAGAAACAGAATAAATGTTTGGGGATAAATGCTGAGGCGTTGTTGGTTTCTAATTTTTCCTTCCTGTTTAAGATGTTAGGATTCCACTGAGCTACAGAACACTGAAGAGAAAGAGAGCTGTGCAAATCTAACACTTAGAGGGAAGGTTTTAATCATAGAATGGGACCTGTTGGTCTTCCAGATGTGCAGCGTCTCCTCGTCCACGTTGTCGTGTCTCTCCGCCTGTTCGTCCAGAAAGTCAAAGAAGTATTTGACGGCCGGAGGGACGGCAGAGCTGGTGCACAGAACGCTGCGGAAGAAATCGTCCACAAACTGCTGCAGGGTGCCCTGTTACACAGAAGGAGAAAACAACCGACATGAGGTACACCTGCATCAGTCAGAACCAGAGGTGGAACCAGTGAAACCAGTTTAAATCAGGCGGTGGGAACCTTGACAGAGAGCAGCCGGGTCAGGTAGATCTCTGTGATGGCTTTGGTCATGGCCTTGTCCTTCATGCTGCCTCTCTTCGACTTCACCTCGTCGATTTCATCCGTGGGCCTCACCAGGTGGAAGGTGTTGTCGTCCTCCAGCAGCGCGTTTTCTGCACCAAGAGAGGAAACCATCGTTTTTAATATTAACCAGAGCTTTAAACTGAGAAACAGGCCATTAGCTGCGGCTCTGATGGTTAAACATCCCCCTCTAAATGTTTTAGATGTTTGATTCTGATCTTTTATTTTCTATCAATCAAACAAGCCTAAATTAGACTTAAAACTAAATTATTATTTTATTCTATTCATATACTCTGTTTTGTATTTTCTATAAATCCCATTAGCTGGAAAATAACATCAGATAAATAAAAAAAGACAATCTGCTGCAGATAAATAGAGAAAATTTAAAAGATGCTGATTATTATAAAAACCCTGGATTCCAAAAAAGTTAAAAAATAATCCACTAGAATTTATTTTCCAAGTTTGGAGACATTTCTGTTCCCATCAGGGAAGATTTTTCAATTCAAAATGTCAAAAATAGTGTTGAGTTTTAGGATTAATACAGGAGCCCAACAACGCCTTTAAAAATATGCAAATTGAAACAGACGAATTGATCCGGCCCTTTGGAATGGGGGTCATTTGGCTTCTTTTATTAGCCTGCAATGCCCCATACCTGTCTATGTCTCTTAAAGGGGGGTCGTTAGGGGGAATTGTTGGCCTGGCTGCATAGGGGAGGTCCTCTGGTCCCCTGTAAAGGGGTTGGGATTACGATGATAGCAAAAACTTTCCTTGATGGGAAGCGAAACGTCTTCAAACTTGGAAACAAAGTCCACTTTTTTGGAATGACTCTGATCTGGATGACTGAGAATCTTCAGCAGCAAAAACACTGGATATTTTAAGGCTGCAAACATGATGAATTAATAAAACAGCAGAACCTTAGCAGAGCAAACAAACCAAATACCTTTAAATAAGTAAACAGTCTGGGGACGGTTGGGCTGAGAGACGCTGGACTTTCTTCTATCTACTCTATGATTCTACAGGTGGACTCGACAAATACCACAACTAATTCTATTCCTCATATTCTTGGATTTATGTTTTAACAAATAGCCAACTTAAAGTTACTCCTGCTAATACTCTGCCTAAAAAGTGGATCAGACAGCTGCAGCTGATCCAGAACGCTGCTGCC